AGCCTGTGCCTATATTCCTGGATTTAAAGCTTTAGACAGCACATTTTTCTTTGAAAGATGAAGAGAAATCATTCTTAATAGCTCCTCTCATTTCTCCCCATGTTGATTCACACACACGCACACACAGCATTGCTAAGTTTATACATCACATTCTCCTCTGTGACTGTAATAATTATTATAAAATATAATATATAAACATTTATTTTGTTATAAACCAAAAATGCTAATCTCTATAGAGCTGTTTAGTTGTGTGCGTAGTCATAGAGGAGGGTATATTATCCTATTTTACTAAATCCCTGTGGCTTAAAGGAGAATGACATAAATGTCAATATCCACGAGATTCTCTTAATTTTAGCCTCTTCACTTAACTGCTTTGGGTATTTCTTAAAATGTTATTGCTGGTTCCTTTTCCTATGTTCAACACAATTTTTTTTTTTTTTCCATTCAATTTCATTTGGTGCTTGGGTAGATGTATGTGCTTGCTCTGCCATCTTGTACCAGCATGGTCAGAAATGTTAAACAGGAATTAGGAACTTAAAATCCTCAGCTTTGGGCTTACCCATATTTTTGGTGTTTGGCATAGAAATTGCTGAATGAAGCTGTTTCAGAAAAATACATCTTACATACCCTACCAAGATTGGAACTGTCAACTATTTTTTCCTTCTATACCAAGATTTTACAAAATAGAACATAGCATTCATGGTCCTTAACCACTGAATCAAGATATGCTGCTCAGAGGCTACCCTCAGGCTTGAAAGATTTTAAGAAGGAGCCTCTGTGCATTTTTTCAGCTGCAGCAGCAGTAACGCTGGTCGTCTTAGAAAGAATTTAAGATTTTTTTTTCTTCTTTTGGGTAAACCAAATTTGCTTTGGCTCAGCTAGGACCAGTTGCTGCCACCATTTCCTTATAAGCCATGTATTGTTTTTATTCCCCACAGCCTCCTGTTTGGATATGCCCTTGGCATGTAGAAATAATACAGGTCTGTCACTTAATTGTCATTGACATGGCGTGGGAAGTGATGCGGCGTAGCAGTGTGGCTGCTGTGGGTTTTCCTCACGGTTCTCCTAGGGAACACTGAGAGGGCAAAGAACTTTAACGTCTTTGTCTCAAATGCTTGTCTAGTCCATAATAGTCTCATCATGGTATACGGGTAATGTGCTTACGTGAGCTCTGTGGAAGAATGAGGCTATTGTACACTTTACCTGTTGTAGATTTTATCATGAGCTTCTAAATTTTCTGACTTGAACGCACACAGAAGTGTAGGTGACAGAAGCTTTTGTTTTTTCCTTCTTAACGGCTGTTCAGTTTGCTTTATTTTTCTTAAAATTGCAGCATTTAGATAGATGTTCCATTAGTAATAGTGCTCAGTTATGTTGATACCTACGTAGTCCAGAAATTTCTCTTTTCATCTTTTGTCTTACGTGTAATACAAATGTACCAGCTTCTGAAACTGGGCAATTTTATCTTGAATATGCCTTGTATATTTGTAACCTTCTCCAAAGGTAATATTAACTGATCATTATATTGTATAGTTACAGAAGGTTGATTGTGCTGAAATGTATAATTTGCAGATGTGTATTTACAGACACTTCAGAGAGAGTGTCTTTGACTATAAGGAATTCAGCAAGCCTATTTCGAAGCTTTATAGTGAGTTTTTAAAATACGATGCTTTTAACTTTTTCAGTATAAACCTTAATACATTTTTAAAAGTAGAAGCCTCATAAGTGAAATGAACTTGATAAGAAAGCAGATCTTTCTCTTTTATTGGGGAATGCCTAAGGCCATAAGAACTTACATCTTAATAGAATGTGATTTTAAAATTTCTAATACAATTTTATGCTTAAATTATTTCAGTCATACTATTTAATTTATTATCTCTAAGAGGAGGTATTAACTAGTAAGAAATCCTAGATTTTAAATTATCAACCACCTACTCTTTGCCTAAATATGACAAAAAAATAAAACCTTTTACACTTTGAGATTCATCAGACCTTTAAATATCAAAAAACAAATTTTTTATTTAGTTTTTAAAAACCCGTTACTCAAATTACGTTATTAGCATGAGATTACCTAAAACATGACACATCAGTCATTAATTGGCAAACACAACTCATTCATCCACTTGACAAATATTGGTAATCTGGTGTGTGTCAGGTACTATTCTAACGTTCATTTTTAAAAATTAATGACTTTAAATTATTCTGCTTTTAAAGTTAATTACCAAATCTTATATATGTTGCTCTGAAAGGAGTTAATTACCTGAAGTGACAATTTCTAAACTGTTGGGAGGATCCAATTCAATATGCAGGTAGGAAATCCCCTAGCCATAGTGATGTTAAAGGCAGAGAAAGTAGGCATTGAACAGGATTATTTCTTGAACCCAGATCAGTGAAATGGTATTCAACTATTTGGAAATACCTTTGTTACAAAGAATATTCGTAACATTTTCAGTTCATAGGATTTTGCCTAAATTCTGTTAGACCTGTATTATTTGTGACATAATTTTTTTTATAAAAAATTGTAAAATTCTCCATAAAATTGTATGAAATCTGTAATATCCTAGAGTCACTAGAAACCTCCAGCTGCCCAGCTGGTATCTTCTTCACTTAGATGTCTCATACAGTTGCTCAAACTGAACATTTTGAAACAGCTTCAGCCTTACTCTCACATCTGCTTTTTCTCTGGTCTTTCCTGTCAAGTTACAAAGGTCAGTTCCACAGTTGAGTATGATCAGTTCTTCCTCCAAAATCTATCTCTAGTCTGTCTACTTTTCTCTATCTCCATTATCATTGGTCGGGTTCAGGCTGCCATCTTACCTGGATTACCACAATACTCTTTTGATTTTTCTTCCTGCTTTCCTTCTTGTTGGCCTGTCTCAGCCATTCTCCACACAGATAACTTAGCTATTTTCTTTCTTTCTTTCTTTCTTTCTTTCTTTCTTTCTTTCTTTCTTTCTTTCTTTCTTTCTTTCTTTCTTTCTCTTTCTTTCTTTCTTTCTTCCCTCCTTCCTTCCTTCCTTCCTTCCTTCCTTCCTTCCTTCCTTCCTTCCTTCCTTCCTTCCTTCCTTCCTTCCTTCCTTTCTTCCTAAGATTTTATCCATTTATTTAGAGAGTGTGCACGTGAGCAGGGGAGAGGGGCAGAGGGCAAGAGAGAGAATCTCTAGCAGACTCCCCTCTGAGCACAGAGTACAATGTGGGGCTCGATCCCAGGACCCTGAGATCATGACCTGAGCTGAAATCAAGAGAGTTGGACGCTTAACCGACTGAGCCACCCAGGTGCCCCTAACTTAGCTATTTTCTTAAGGAAAACTAGCTCATTCTGCTCCCTTGCTCAGAACCTATACATGATTTCCTTTTGTACTTAAGATAAAATTCAAAATTTCTTTCTTGGTTTGATACAGTCTGGCATATGCTTGTCCCTGTCAGACTTGCCAGCTTCCCTCTTCACCAGTGCTGTTTTCTGTCCTGAATACCCCTGTCCCAACCCTTTGCTTGGTCAACTCTTCTCCCCCTTCAGATTTCAGCTTAAAATGCCATTTTTGAAGTACATTTTTTGCTGAGCCTCCCTTTTCAGATGAATTGCTCCTTCTCGTCAGGTCAAGAAGGCTCTCTTTGGCGGTGCACTGTATTAGGCCCACTCCTGAATTGCAGAGGGAGCTACCACCTGAAGATCTATGGAAGGAGCAGGGAGTGGAAGGCCTGAGGCTGAGATGATTGTGAATTAAAATCAAGCTACCTCCAAAACCACGTGAGATTCAACTTGCTAAAGCATTTGAACAAGAGAGTCTCTATACAGAGTGAAATAACTCAAAGATTTTTTTCATCATTGAGGCATCCTTTGCAAGAAGCAAATCTCCATTCTCTAAGTCATGGACTCTCATTTAGATTCCTAGACAGGTTTCAAAAATATTTGTGATGCCATTGGCTCAGCTCAGCAGTGGATCCATTGGCTCAGCTCAGTGACTGATATACAGGGTGCCCCATACCTGGTTTCCTCTTGGCCAAGAAGCATCACAGAGTCCAAAAAGCATTGATTTCTATGTCAATGAGAATTGGCCCCAAATCTCAGCTCTTTCACGGATTGCCTGTTAAGCTTGGGCAAAATATTTCTTTGCTCCGAGCCAGTCTCCAACCTGGTGGTCTGTGGTGGGGATTAAATGAAGTACTGATTGTAAGGCGCCTGGCACAGAGCAAATGGCTACAAATGATTCTGATCATTGTCTGCTTACATTTATCCTTCGGATTTATCCTTCGGATAAAGTGATCAAAGGGACTTCTACCAAATTTTAAGACTGCTTTACCTCAATTTAGAAACCATAGAGTTATATCTAGGCAAACATTTGAAAAGAAAAAATTGATGAACACATTGACCAGAATTCCTTATTGGTCTCTCTTGTGAAAGTAGGAAGAAAAAGATGATTCTGTGTCTGAGGCAAAGATAAATGTTACAGAGGATATAGTTTCCTCTAGGTTTTATTTGATCTTTTTATTCTCTCTGAAGACATAGTCTGAAAGAATGTGGAAAACTTCAAAAGCAGAATAGAAGCACTTGTTCTGACACATGGAGATCTTTATGGCTTTCTGTTTACCCAGTGATTTTTTTTTAAAGCCCTAGATAACAAAATACCAAGAATGGAATTGGGAGTCAGCCTTTCATATTGAAGCACTAGAAGTGAAATCTTTGATCAGAGTGATTTCACACAAATAAATGCTAGTTTGGCACAAGAGGGAAAGGGAACGTGTTCCGATTTCACTGGTCTTGTCAGTGTTTTACATTTTAGTCCTATCACAGGCCTTGCATTAAAAACACGGTACACACATCATCATACTCAGAGAAATTTTTATGCTCAAGCAGAGCAAATCCAGTAGATTTATGTAGCCCTTCCCTGGCCTGCATGGAGCAATGGTACATTTTCTTGTTTCCATAAAGAATTTTTCAAAAGCACCAAATACTGATAATTTTTGCTTTTTTTTTTCTTTTCTCTTCCTCTTTTTTCTAGGATTATGACAGTTTTTTTGAAGCAAAGGAAAGCAACACAGTCTATTCATTCTTAGGCCTGAAACCACGGTTGGCATCAAAGGTAGGTAAATCTTTTCTTTTTTTAAAATTCATCTTTCTTGAATTGTCTCGAGGGGTTGAGATTGAAGATGTTAGAAGAATGCATGTGTAAGTCTCCTAAATTTTTAAATTTCACTCGCTCAAATGCATAGTCAGGGACTGCCTGGTGTAAAAATGCATGAAGAAGCCCAGGGTATTTTCCTCTAATTTTCAATTGTTGTATATTAGAGTTTATTTTTATCTATCATTTACTTTATTTAAAATCTATACCCCCCTTCTTCCAAGAAAAATTTAAGGTAGTAAGTGCTTTCTGTTTTAAAGTGCAAGTTTACATTACTTTACATTTTTTGAAATAGCAGAATCAAAGCCATATCTTTAAGGTTTTTTGCACATTTAACTCCTTTACATTGGAAGGGAGATGGCCTGTAATAATAAATGGTCAACCTTAAAAAAAAACACTATAATTCCTGAACTAAGTCAAAATGTTTTTTGAAGCTACTTTATTATGTCATATGTCTTTGATGGAACATAAAAGGCTCAAGCTTTTCTAATATTTAGACCAGAAGATATATATATTATTACAAGTTTGTGAAGTGTATAGATTCACTTTCAAAATAAAAAACAGAATTTCTTTATTAAATAAGGTAATATTTTGATTATTTCCCCCTTTAAAGATATTATTTTCTTCTGATTATGAAAGTAGCCTTATTTAGGAAAGGTTCATTTAGGAAAATACCAAAGTATAGAGTAGAAAATAAAAATCACCTATTATTCCACCACCCAGAGATAAGCATATTAACTTTTTTGGGTGTATTTTCTTGTAATCTTTATATACAAGGCAGTTGAGGTTTTGGCCATATTTCACATTGAGACTGAATTCTAAAGTATCTATTTTTAACACTGAATTGAAATGAAAGTACATTACTGGGTACTTTGATGTCTGTCAGCAATAGGTCTTTTGAGGCTACTCAGGATCTGTACCGTTTCTGGAACACCTATGGGAGGAAAGCAGAGACTATCAATAATATAAATTATACACCAGCACCCGCAGTTCATAGCCGATGTGAAATCTTGCTTTGTTTTTACATTACTAAGTCCACAGATGGTTGTGGGTGGTTTCCATGCATATGTTTTAAACAGTGGCAAAACCCACACATATAATATTTAAAGGTTCTTACAACTATTTTTATAAAGATGGAACATTGGAATACTTGTTAGGAAAATTGTAGTATTTTTATAACATATTTCATCCAAAGATATTAAACAATCCAGATTTATCTTCAAAGACCTGGAAAAAACATGGGTAGGAGTAATCTAAAGTATGCATAAATCTAGTGGACATCATTATCTATGCAAAAACCTTAAAAAAAAAAAAACTGTGCGCTTGCCGTCTTTGTTCTCATTTTCCCCTGAAGATGTAGATTCCTTAGAGATTCTGAAGGCTGATTTTTTTACTCTTTAAAAATATTTATTCTCTCATAAATTTCCCAGGAAGCCTATAATCCATAAAATATGCATTTTCACATGACTTGTGGTCACAGTATTAAAGCTGGTCTTCTGATGCCATTGACAACTACTTGATTTCAGTAGACCGTTCCAAGGGCATTAAAGGCTCTGGGCAACCCCACCCATTCAGCACACCATATTCCAGCCCCTGAGTCAATCGTATGAGCAGGAGCACATGGAACCAGAGTGGAAGTCCATGGTGCAGTGTTTGTGCAACCCTCTCTCATGAATCATTCAGGGCCTTAAGGGTTAATAGCAACTAACACTGCATAGGAGAGAGGTGAAAATATGTTTAAGAGCAATTCAGCTTCCCCGCCCCACCCCCCAATTATCTATTTATTTTTTTACCTTGGTAGTAATACATACTCAATCCACAGTCCACACTCAAAGGCCTAGACAGAGTATTCACGGGTATAATATACTAAAAGGTGGAAGCCCCCTTTTCTCCTTTCCTTTCCCTCACTCTCTGCAGTATACATACATAAACAATAGGGCTAGAAAGCCTGCCAATGAACATATAAAACAACATTAGCATCTGTAATTGCTCATACACAGTGAGGAGAGAGTAGAGAGATGGTAGGAGAAGAATGTTCACAAGCCCAACAGGCCCAGGTATAAGGTAGACTCTGGGCAGTTCTCAAAAATGGACAGGGCAGAAGAAGGTAAGAGGTCACAAAATGGTGGCCTATAGGCCACATTGGCTCTGGATGCGTCTCTCCTACACAGAACTTTGAAAAGAATTTAAATGTGTTGCTAATATTTAAAATATAGATTTCTCACTTTTCTCAAGAAATTGAAAGTATGGAAATCCTGGGGGAGCCCACTTCCTCCTTTGGCTGATTGGAGCCAGTAGAAGCCAACCCATCATGGTACATACCTAAGAGAAAAGGAGGCCTTTTCACCAATAATTTTCAGGTAGAAAACCATCAAGTTTGTTGTTTAATTAGACTCAAAGCAGGACCTGGAGTAGAAGTTTCTGCTTTGCGATCCCTACCATTCAGGGGTGATATTCAAAGTAATGTAACAGCTAGTAAATCCTGGGCACTGACCAGCCAGAGCTAGCTTGAGCATGTCTTGGAAGTCCCACCCTCCCCCACCCCCCGCCATGGCAGGTGTCTGTTTAGTGGCTGAAACATGGAGCTCTCCTGGGAGGAGGGCCAGAGGTGGCCCTGGGGGGATTGGGGCAGCAGCTTATTTACTAAGAGTTTTGGCCATACCGGTGCTGTTCTTCAGCTCTGGTGGCCCTCCGCAGGCCCCAAGTGAAGCACCCACACACACCCCACTCACCTGGGTACGGGGGGAGTAGTGCCTCTGAGAGGAGTCTCAGTCTTTGGAAACATGTGGCTTCCTTTCCACTTTGACATTTGGCAGGTTGGGTGGCTGTGATTGAAATCTGTGCTGCTCCTGAAACCTAGGATTTGCTGTCATCAATCACATGGGGGTGATTTATTGTGATTTCCAACATCTCCATTCCTGACATTTAAAATATCATCACCAGGCTGAATTTTCTTGTCAACCCAATGCAACAACTGACCTTTTTTTTTTTTTTTTCTTTTTTTAAATTATAGGCAGAACCTTAGAGAAGACCAGTGGAAGATAACAGAGATGTATTTTGGAGCGCCCCCTGGTACTCAGCACACACCTGCTTACCTAATACGTCACTGTGACTAAAGCCACGTGCATCATCAGTAACACTGCTTGCCATGGAAAAGGTGTTTTTGGAAGACATGGGTATAATGGGATTGCATGATTGCTTTAAACCAAATCAGGACTGTGGTGGTTTTTTTCTTATTTTCAGAATTGCCTGCAGTTGCCTCATTCACCTGGAGGTACTCTAACCTGTTACAGGTGTGCTTCCTTAATGACTGAAAGATAAATGGGTAGCACCATTGGAGAGAAAATGCTGAATCTGCGCTAGGTTGTAGCTGGTGGCAGTATTGCTCAGACCTGCCTCTCTTTAAGTGGCCTGGATTGTATCCTTGAAATTAGTTTGCCAGACTATTAGAATCTTTTGATCAGACAGAAAAAAAGCAATGCTGGTTGACAAAGGGCTGAAGAGTTTTGCTGCAAAAGTCGCAGCCATCACTATTCCAGTGCTTTGTAATAGCACCTATAGAAAAAGATGTTCTAGCCTCCTTTGGTAATGGACACTCTTATTTCCATAAATCCTCCAAACTCCTCCAGATGTTTCCAAAAATCACTGTCACAACAATGTGTGATCAGGACCAAGGTACAGGGATAAAAATAGTTGGTATTTTGGAAAATAAAGGGTTCTGCATCTCTTGCAAGGGAAAAGTTTCATTTAAATGTAAAAGACAGAGTAAAAGGTATATTTTAGGAGGTGTACTAATTAGACAGTAAATTTAGAGGGAAATGATCTGACTCCTATCTGAAGGGATTTTCAGCTCTAGCAACTTATTTATGCACAAGTAACATATTTTTAAATGCAGCTTCCCTAACAGCTGCTTATTCTATTTTGTGAATGGATTATATATTTTTTTTTTTTTGAGAAAGGAAGATCTTGGTTAGATATATTTTATGAGCCCTTGATGAGGCATATGAAAAGATACTAATATTGGGGTACAATGTTCATTTTTTTCCTCAGTTGCTTTTCACCGGACCTCTAACGGCTTGCTCTTATTTCTGGCCAATGTACAGTCCCAGCTTTTTCAGAATACTGCAGATACATGTTCCCATTCTATACATGGATACCAGTGAGCTTTCAGAGCAGTGTATATGAGAAAGGGGCTGTCAGAGAATAGCTCTGAATTGTACTTGGCATGCAGAATCTCTACTCCCTTTGGAGCGGATGCTGAACATGTCGACTTCCTTCAGACAGAGGCTGCTTTTCTCCATCCTTGTCCCTTATGGTCTTTAGAGTTTTTAGTTGCCATACATAAACAGTCTTGAATAGGATAAATTCTTAGAGGTTTGCCTAAAATATTCTGCTTTTCTCAGCATCCTGATGCTGGACCTGTCATTCAGATGCTGAGCAGGATGTAAGAAATTGAAAGGACATAAGAATGAAAGTCCTGTCCCCTGTGTTCCCTCACCCTCAACTAAGTAAATGCGGACCACTCTGAAGGACTTGTTGAATGCGGACACTGAAATCCCAGCCTGAGATTTGCAGCCCAGGACTACAACCAGAAGAAGAACATGCCACAGATTTCAACTTGACTGGAACCAATACATGATCCACAATTTTCTCTCCAAGGAAAGCTGTTGTGAAATCATGGGTATTACTGCTTAGTTGGCATTAAATAAGATCCAGGTCAAATTCCATTTGAGAAATCCCAGGGACTATCCAGGAATCTTTTATTTTGAACTGGATATTGTGTTTGAGTAAATGTGTCTTCTGATAAGACTTAGAACTTCATTTGCAGATACAACAATTTTAAAAATGTAATGCTACAGTGATCTAACTTACATTTAATCTATTCTTGCCAATGAGCACCAAGAACCAACTTGGTAAGATTGAGGCCTTGGAAGTTAAATTCTGGGGTTGGGGGATCAACATGATACTTGCTAGACAAAGATAGCTATTCAGATTTGTTCATCTTAAAGCTTTTGCATTACTGTGGTTATTGTAGGACCAGAATGGTTTCCTAAACAGACTAGATGGAGGATATTGCTAAATTGCTACCAGTCACACATCGTCTTCCCCTCAGCTCATCATCATCATTATTATTATTATTATTATTTTAAAATCAGCATAGAAATAGGAGAGACCAGCCCTGGCTGGTACTGTACTTGTTATGAGTGAGGTGGAAGCACACTGTGTGGCATTTCCTGCAATACCCAGGCTCTGCAGAGTACTGAGGTATTGCCCTCTGGGACCACATTGTGTTCAGAGAATACGGTCTCTTTCCTTGTACTGTTTTACCCGCTAAGTTCCAAACATGTAATGATTTCCTGTTCCTTTCTTTAACTAGCTGCCTTTAGATTTGAATATTCACAGTCTTAAAAACCTAGGAAAGAACTAGGTGGGAGTTACAGACGTAGATGTAATATCAAAGGCATTTCAAGACAGAATTTTTATTTCCTGTAGTAGGCTTATTGGGACAAAGGAAATGTGCTGCTAAAAATAAAATTATGCCAGTTTAAAATTAGATAAAATACAGAGTGCCATCCTGCTAGGTATATGCAGACCAAAAGAAAATTTAGTTGGGGAAATACTTATTTTTCCAAATTCTGGTGTTCTATTAAAATCAAAGAGGAGAAAAGGAAGATTTTTTTCTCTCTCAGATTCTAATATATTTTAGATTTGTTTCTGTTTTATAGATTCCTCCAGACACCTAGCTGTTTTTGTATTACATGAATTTAAAAATGAACTAAATTTATTTTTGTCTTCTGTTATTGAAAGGTACCAAAGCCTCTTTCTATTGTTTGTTTGGTTTTTTTTTTTTTTAATTTGGTTTTGCTATGTAGGGTTTTGCTTTTTCTAGAAATACTTTCCATTTAACAGCATTTCTTAAGTGTCAGGGCCCACTTTGATGTGCATAATTGTTTTTAGATTTCAGTGTGTATGCGTTTGTTTCTAAAGGCACTGGTGCAATCTCAGATTTTATATTCAGCATTAAAGAGAAATAAATTCCAGAAAACACATATTCTGAAAATGGAGTGTTTGTTCCCTACCATTTCTTATACCTTTTCTAATTTTAGTTCTGTGTTTGGTTGAAACCTTCCTGTTTAGTTGGGATGTTATACTTCTACTCCCACTCATGAATCTCATACCTGAATGCTGCAGATTAGTTGTAAAAATGCGGACGGATCATTTGCCCATTTGAGGAGACAAACATGTGTGTGGTCCTGTGTACATGTGTGTTGGGAGGTGATCACAGAATGCTCTCAGGCAGTGACCAGGGCCAGGGAAGCATTAAATCTCTTGTTCCCTTGGTTGGTTCCAATAGATGATTGTGGTTTCCTGAGTACACTGAAGCCACGGACTGGTGGATTTGTTCCCTTAATTGGGTGCAAAAACCCAAGTACAGTGTAGCTGCCACCCTTAGATAGCAGGGTCCCCCTTGAGGTAGCCCTCTCTGAAAGCAGAAGACACTTCTGAAGGCAGAGTCGGAGGCTGATCTCGTCACTGAACTATTTCAGACCTTAAACAGCAAGACCGAAGGAGGGTAAAGGAGGAGATAAAAGAGACCAGGCTGTAAGTTTGAAGGAAATGTGCTAAATTGTGAAACCAAATAAGCCAGGTAATCACTGCCCACTTATACCCCAGATTTTCAGTTTTCCTAGTTCTTCTAGAAATGCAGGTCAGGTTGGTTTGGTCATCCTTTCAATCAGCATGTGTTGAGCTCCTGGAATGTAATGGGTACTGTTTGAGCAGGACAGCAGTCTCTATCCTGAAGAAGGAGAAAAACGGAATCAAGGGCAGCAGTTACTGCCAAGTGATGAATGATTGAGGTCAGTTCGTAGTGCTCCGTTCGTCATCTGGAGAGACGTTATGTGTAATCTTTGTTTGTTACAACCCTTCCAGGCTTTAAAATTATTTCATGCAGTGAAATATATACGCATACATCTATACACACACACACTAAAATATAAAGAGTAATAAACCCCTGTGTGCCTGCCACCAGCTCATTGCCTTTTCTCTGAGGCACTGAGTGCTCTTCTAGGGCCCTATCCCATCCCTGTTTGAGAATGGGAGCCCCTCTCATGAACTCTGTGGATCGTAGCCTTTCTCTCCTTTATCATTTTACCTCCTTTATCATATGTACTTTAAATAATAATAAATGGCATTAAACTGTATTCTTCTATCACTTTATGTTCATTGCAGTTGGGCATTATCATTTTGTAACAAGTGTCCTGGTTTATTTTCACGGCTAAGTACTACTTCACTGTATGACTGTATCACAGTTTTTCCCTTCTCCGGTCACTGGGTATTCAACTGCATCTTTCTTTGAAATAGAAAAAGGCAGTGTTGCTATGAACATTCTTTTATATGACTTCTGGTGCACATAACCAAGACTGGATGTATACCTTGAATAGAATTGCTGTGTCGAACAATAAAGCACATTATCAACTCTTAACAGATAAGGCCAAATTGTTTTCCAAAGTCATGGTACCAGCTTACACTTTCACTGGTATCCTAGAATTTTCAGTACTCTAGATCCTCGCCAACGTTCAGGATCATCAGAATCAAATTTTTGCCAAGCCAAAAAATGTAAAATGGTATCTCATTGTGGTTTCATTTTGTACATATTTGATTACTAATAAATTGAACATGTTTTATTATGGTAATTCCTAAGTAGGAATTCGGAAATTCTTCGTGTCTCTTACCTTTTTTTCTATTGTGTTTTGTTTTTTAATTATTAATTTTTAAAGTTCTTAATACTTAACCTTTTATCGGTTAACGCATATTTAACTATTAAAGAGAAACTATATTTAGAGTAGAATAATCTTCTGAAGCAATTTCCAGAAGTATGAAAAGCATGTGAAACTTTCTTCTATTTGGAGAAAATAAAGTTAAATGCATATATTGTGTGTTCTTATTGTGTGCTAATTTTCAACTTGTCAGCATATTGTCCCAGAGAAGATGTACTTTGGAAACCCCTCTATGCTCTAGCAGGGTTCTTTCTTTGAAGCTATCTTAAGGCCCATCAATTCTGGTTATTTGGTAGGAGATTGTCACATTAGGTTTTCTGCTATAAAATTTTATCGAAAGGAAATCTTTATATAGACTGCATGTTTATATATGCACATTTCCTTAGCTTACCAACATGTCATAGACTTACACTAGGACAGAATGATGTTACACTGAAAAGGACATCAAAAAAGTTCACTTAAGTCATAGGAGACTGTTTTGAACCTACACTCGTAATTAAATAATCCTTAAGCTGAATGAGCTAGATCTGTAGTCTGCAAATATAACCCAGTGTGCTGTGCTGATAGCATGTTTTCATGTGTGTGAACTGACTGGTGGGTATAAGAATGAGAAACTACAATGTAGTCTTACCTTCTGAGGCTCCTGCTGCCCAGGAACAGCATTTTTAATAGACTAAGGACCTGGCATACTAGAAGACTTACTATGAAAGAAAGAATGTAAAATATCTTATTAATAATTTTTGTATTGATTGCATTTTTTAATGATAATATTTTGGATATATTGGGTTAAATAGTAAAACAAATTTCACCTTTTTTTTTTTAATACGGCCACTGTAAAATGTTAAATTACATGTATGGCTTTTGTTATAGTTCTCTTGGATGGTACTATTCTGTACCTAGTTCTCTTGGACAGTACTATTCTGTACCATCTTCTTTACCTGAATTTAACAATAGAATTTACAAAACCTTTAAAAGGTTTTGGGGGTTTTGGCAAAATGCTCCTTCTTTCATTTGTAAAATGAAAGAAAATGTGAACATCTTTTGGAATATAATTTTCTAATACTACTGCCAAGAGAACTGTTTTTCTCATTTTGCTTTTTTGTCCTTCTAGCTTGAAGCACTTTTGTAGTGAAGAGGGAGGTTCTTTTTTTTCCTGGGATAAAAATAGTAATCTGTGTGTGTTGTAATATGGGGCATCTCTCTGTGTATCCAACCTCTTGTTCCTTTATTGCCTTACAAAGTTGATGTCTCCTGCTGAATTGGTCCACATCTGTGAACAGAGTCTTGGTGGGTTGTGTGTGTGTGTGTGTGTGTGTTTTCCTTTTTTTAAAGAGGAAATTTAATGAACCATACAGATGAATCTATAATCTGCAAAACAGTGATGAATATCAACAGGATTTTATCCTAGATTTCCTAAAATGTTAATTGTCTGTATCTGTAAAACTCATTTGAGCTCATAAGAATATACAGATAATCTACTTTTTGAACGTTTCTTTCTGGTCTCATTGCCAAAGATTAAAACAGAATGTGAGTATTAAGGAAAAATATCTTCCCTTTTTTGCCCAGGGTTTTAAATCATTTTCTTGTTGCTACTCTCAGCAAAATAGTTTTGGGGGGAGAACCCCTTTTGTCATTAAAATAATTGATGGTGACAGTAGTTGTTAAGTAGGAGAATGGGTTTTGTTTTGTTTTTTTAAAGATTTTATTTATTTACTTGTCAGAGAGAGAGTGAGCACAAGCAAGGGGAGCGGCAGGCAGAGGGAGAAGCAAGCTCCCCGATGCGGGACTCGATCCCAGGACCCTGGGATCATGACCTGAGCTGAAGGCAGACGCTTAACCGACAAACAGCACCCTGGGTTTTGGGGGGGTTTTGTGTGTTTTTTTTTTTATTATTTTGTTTGGGACCCTTCCCTTCCCAATGAGAGTGTTTGTATTATAGCCCTTGTAAGTCAACAGATGCCAACTATCTGTGTTTCACGTAGCTGTTTTCATGTTGCTTTGGGGCTCATTATTTGTCATTCTCATGAACTACCGTACGTATATAGGATTTATCTTTCAAAGACAGATGGAATGACCCCATGGAATCTGTCTGAGATAAATTATAGGCAAACATTTCTCATGTTAATTTGATTTAGCTTATTGATATTATTATCCCAATCTGTTAAATTGGGTAGTATTTTTCTTCATATCAATCCATTTCATGCCACATACTAATAACATCACTAGGTTGAAATACACATTCTGGGCTCTAGATTCAAAGCCAGATGGAAAGATGACTCTGAGATCAATAGGTGGGGCAAAAAGACCAGTAATTCGGCTTTGACTCTGTTATCCTAGACCAAACCTACCCTCTTCTCTCTCCCCACCTGTCTTTAGTGGTAAACCACTCTTAAACAATCTGCTCCTAGCCACATCCTAACCAACTAGTACAGGTAGCGGAAGGGATGACAACAGTGATATTTTTACCCCCCAGATTGGCAGGCAGAAGGAATGCCTCCAGCTGCAGCTTCCCTCGATTTTACATGCCTAGTAAGTACTTATCATTGCACCATCACAATCACAAATGAGAAACTGAATCCTGACAGGTTTCCATCCTAGTCATGAGGTGACCGGGCAAACAGAATTTTATCAGTTACATATCTGGCAAGTGAAATGACTATGGCATTCAGACTTGTGGGTGGCTTCTGAATGACAGCAGGAAACCTGTTCCCTATCATTGACTCATTTAGAGACCAGGCTGCGTCTGAGACAATTCCAGAGAGGCTCCATCCTCTAGACCCCAACAAGTAAATGTTAATCTGCAGTGAGGGTGAACAGACCTACTGCTGGAATCAGACGGATATGCAGGCAAAAGGACAAGTTGTGATAGGGGAGTTTGGGTGGCAGTGGTGTCTACCTCAAGAGATGGCCGTCTTCCTGAAAATGGGTCATTTCAGCAGAGAATAGATTTTAAATAATGGTGGAGATCTGTTTTCTCCGACGTTTTCGCCATTACTGAAACCTTTATTGCATTTTCGTTACAAATAGCTCTTTATTGAATAGTATTTTCAAAAGCGTTATAATTTACATTCTAATTTTTTGCTGATTGGAAGAGCATCCTTTGCATGATTTATGGTAGAACTAAGAGTCACCAAATAAGCTGTCCAGCCAGAGGGCACCTGGGTGGCTCAGTGGTTAAGCTGTCCAGCCAAAGCCCAAGAACTCTGTGCTAATAGTCTTTTTTTTTTTCCCCCTTTGTACCTCAGCTTGTATTTTTTACCTGGTAAACATCTGAGAAAGAGAATAGCACTTTCCCATTTCAGTGAGGGTATAACCATCAGTCAGTTAAGCCCAAATATGATGTTATAAAAACCAAATCCATTATCTCTTCTGTATGAAGACCATTACGTGAGTTTGTTGATACCCAGTATTGATATTTATGTTTGCATGATGTTGGTGAAAGTGTAGTACTCTTTGTAACTTACCTGTGAGCATAAATGTTCCCTGCTTAGTATCTCAGAAGCTGCTTTTCTTGGTGTTTTTTATTTTATACCATTTGGTTTGGGTCAGCTTTGTATTAAGAGAGACAAACTACTTGTATGTCCTTTTTTAACTTGTAAACAATAAATCTGTTACGTAAAAGCTGACCCTA